CTGGTCTCACTTAGGGTGTTGCTGACGAAACGTCACCATTTTTAGCTGTCCAAGTATCCCTTAGGGTGTACTCGGAGAACTAATAATGAAAGAAATGGTCTCATTTAATTTCTGTTTTCAGGCTTGATTTCCGCTGATCTCTCAAATACGCAAGTCGGGTCTACAAGTGCACACGGGATTTTTGAACAGTGGCTAGTAATCGAACCTATTCCGTTTTATGTGGTATCTTTTAGGGGTGTAATGGACCTCAAGCAACGTCCACATTAGTCGCCCGTAGGAGTTAAATTTAAATTTTCCGACGAGCATTCCTGCGGATGTTTTGATATGGGAGTTCCCCCCGGGGGAGAGTGTGGCGCATCTCTAAACGCGCGTGAACTTACGAGAGAAAAGAAAGTTGATATGGGCGAGAATCTCTTACCCGAGCACTGTGCAAATCGATAGTTTTCCGCAAGTGAAATGCACGTGTGTAGATTTGGAGGAGGGCTAAAACTAGCATCTTTGAAAAGTTATATAACCATTGGTTGGGAACCCTGCACCTAAAGCGCGAGTGTGGCGAATCTCGAAACGCGCAAGAACTTACGAGAGAAAATAATTTTTATAGGAGCGAGAATCTCTCACCCAAGCAAGTTTACCACAAGTAAAATAAACGTTGGAAATTTTGAAGAGGGCTAAAACTAGCATCTTTAAAAAGTCAGATAAGCATTGGTTGGGAACCGGGCACCTAAAACGCGGGTGTGGCGCATCTGTAAACGCGAGAGTACTTACGAGACAAAAGAAAGTTGATATGGGCGAGAATGTCCAACCCAAACACTGTGCAAATCGATGGTTTTTTACAAGTGAAATTTACGAGTGTAGATTTGGTGGAGGGGTAAAAGTAGCATCCTTAAAAAGTTAGGTAAGCATTGATTGGGATCCCGGCACCTGAAACGCGAGTGTGGCGCATCTTTAAGCGCACTAGAACTTACGAGAGAAAAGAAAGTTAATATGGGCGAGAATCTCTTACCCAAGCTCTGTGCAAATCGATAGTTTTCCACAAGTGAAATAAACTTGTGTAGATTTGGGGGAGGGCTAAAAGTAGTATATTTAAAAAGTTAGAAAAGCATTGGTTGGGATTCCTCCACCTAAAACGCGACTGTAGCGCATCTCTAAACGCACGAGACCTTACGAAAGAAGAGAAAGATGATAGGGGCGAGAATCTCTCACCCAAGAAATGTCCAAATCGATGGACTTCCACAACTGAAATAAACGTTGGAGATTTGGAAGAGGGCTAAAACAAGCATATTTAAAAAGTTAGGTCAGCGTTGCTTGAGCTCACTGCACCTGAAACGCGAGTGTGGCGCATCTCGACACACGCCAGAACTTACGAGAGAAAAGAAAGTTAACATGGGCTGGAATGACCAACCCAAACACTGTGCAAATCGATAGTTTTTTTTGGAAGTAAAATACACGCGTGTAGATTTAAGGGAAGGCTAAAAGTAGCATCTTTAAAAAGTTAGATAAGCATTGGTTGGGATCCCCGCACCTGAAACGCGAGTGTGGCGAATCTCTAAACGCGCGAGAACTTACGAGAGAAAAGAAAGTTGATATGGGCGAGAACGTCCAACCCAAACACTGTGCAATTCGATAGTTTTTTACAAGTGAAATACCCATGAGTAGATTTGGAGGAGGGCTAAAAGTAGCATATTTAAAAAGTTAGGTAAGCATTGGTTGGGATCCCTGTACCATAGCCGCGAGTGTGGCGCATATCGAAACGCGCGAGAACCTACGAGAGAAAAGAAAGTGAATAGGAGTGAGAATCTCTCACCCAAGCACTGTCCAAATCGATAGACTTCCACAAGTGAAATAAACGTTGGAGATTTGAACGAGGGCTAAAACTAGCATCTTTAAAGAGATATGTAACCATTAGTTGGGAACCCTGCACCTAAAACGCGAGTGTGGTGCATCTCTAAACGCGCGAGAACTTACAAGAGAAAAGAAAGTTGGTATGGGCGAGAATGTCCAACCCAAACACTGTGCAAATGGATAGTTTTCCACCTGTGAAATACACGTGTTTAGATTTGGGGGAGGGCTAAAAGTAGCGCCTTTAAGGTGGCCAAACAGTTTTCGCGCGCGCTTTTGCTGATGCAATTCAGCGCTTGCACAAGGATTGCAAAAAACAAACATGCCGTCAATAGAGCGATCATTTTATTTACTCAACAGTCGCACTATCTGTGCTATTTTTCTCTATAATTGAACGCAGTGTATTCATGGCTTTAGTCTTTTATTATAGAGATATGTTAGAGAAGGTAACGATGCAAAGAACCCAACAATTCTCAGCTTTTTCTTTGTTACCGAAAGAACCCAGCTGAATGTAGCGCATGCGTAGTAAGTCAAAAAATTGCGATTGAATGAAAAATTGCACTCTCCGAAATACGCCTATTTCTCGAGAACCACTCATTAGAATTTCACGAAATTTGGTACGAAGATACTTTAGGAAATAAGTAACTGGAACATTGAAAATAATTGAACTTTAGCAAAGGAAATTATAGATATTCCAGTGAACATTCAACAAGGGATAATTAAAGATCTCTGTGTTAGATTATTAGCAAAATGTTGTTTACTTGTGAGAATCGTTACAAGCTTGTTGCATGCAAATTATAAAGAAAATCTAATGACTAGATTTTCTACAAATAGACAAAATCGATTTTAAAGGCCTGTTTTTATTTATTCATGTTGCCATGGCAACGGCACATACGTCAGCTTAACCATAAAAAAAACCAAAGTTTGTGTTGTTAACTTGCTTTCTGCCATTTTTGACGACCGAGGGATCAAGGGTTTTAGAGGAAAAGGTGAATAAAACACAGATACCAAAAACTGTGTTCAGCCACCTTGAAATGTTAGGTAAGCATTGGTTTGGATCCCTGCAACTAAAACGTCAGTGTAGCGCTTCTCTAAACACGCCAGAACTTACGAGAGAAAAGAAAGTTGATAGGAGCGAGAATCTCTTACCCAAGCACTGTGCAAAGCGATAGTTTTCCACAAGTGAAATACACGTGTGTAGATTTGAGGGAGGGCTAAAAGTAGCATCTTAGAAAAATAGGTGAGCATTGGTTGGTATCCCTGCACCTAAAACGCGAGTGTGGCGCATCTCAAAACGCGCGAGAACTTACGAGAAAAAAGAAAGTTGATAAGGGCGAGAATCTCTCACCTAAGCACTGTCCAAATCGATAGACTTCCAGAAGTAAAATAAACGTCGCAGATTTGGAAAAGAGCGAAAACTAGCATCTTTAAAAAGTTAGGTAACCATTGGTTGGGATCCCGCCGCCTGAAACGCGGGTGTGGCGCATCTCTAAACGCGCGAGAACTTACGAGAGAAAAGAAAGTTGATTTGGGCGAGAACGTCCAACCCAAACACTGTGCAATTCGATAGTTTTTTACAAGTGAAATATCCATGAGTAGATTTGGAGGAGGGTTAAAAGTAGCATATTTAAAAAGTTAGGTAAGCATTGGTTGGGTCCCTGTACCATAGCCGCTGCGAGAGGAAAAAAAAGTTGATATCAGCGAGAATGTCCAACCTAAACACTGTGAAAATCGATAGCTTTTTACAAGTGAAATGCACGTGTGTAAATTTGGGGGAGGGCTAAAAGTAGCATCTTTAAAATATTAGGTAAGCATTGGTTGGAATCCCTGCGCCTAAAACGCCAGTGTTGCGCATCTCTAAACTCGCGAGAACTTACGAGAGAAAAGAAAGTTGATATGGGCAAGAATCTCTTACCCAAGCACTGTACAAAGCGATAGTTTTCCACAAGTGAAATACACGTGTGTAGATTTAGAGGAGGGCTAAAAGTAGCATCTTTAAAACGTTAGGTAAGCATTGGTTGGGATCCCTGCACCTTAAACGCGAGTGTGGCGCATCTCTAAACGCGCGAGAACGTACGAGAGAAAAGAAAGATGATAGGAGCGAGAATCTCTTACCCAAGCACTGTCAAAATCGATAGACTTCCACAAGTGAAATAAACGTTGGAGATTTGGAAGAGGGCTAAACTAGTATCTTTAAAAAGTGAGGTAACCATTGGTTGGGATCCCGGCACCTAAAACGCGTGTCTGGCGCATCTCTAAACGCGAAATTACTTACGAGAGAAAAGAAAGTTGATATCGGCGGGAATTTCCAACCCAAACACTGCAAATCGATAGTTTTCCACAAGTGAAATACACGTGCGCAGATTTGGTGGAGGGCTAAAAGTAGCATCTTTAAAACGTTAGGTAAGCATTGATTGAGATCCCCGCACCTAAAACGCGAGTGTGGCGCGTTTCTAAACGCGCGAGAACTTACGAGAGAAAAGAAAATTGATATGGGCAAGAATCTCTTACCCAAGCACTGTCTAAATCGATAGACTTCCACAAGTGAAATACACGCTTCTAGATTTGGGCGAGGGCTAAAACTAGCATCTTTAAAAAGTTAGGAAAGCCTTGGCTGGGATCCCGGCACCTAAAACGCGAGTGTGGCGCATCTCGACACGCGCGAGAACTTACGAGAGAAAGAAAGTTGATATGGGCAAGAATCTCTCACCCCATGAGGGGACGCAAATGACTTCTACTGTAAGTATCTCTTTTCGTTGTTTTTTTTCTTTTTTTATTTCTTTTTCTTTTTTTTTTAATTTTATGAGAACAGGGCTGTATTCCTTTAAGGCTGTGGGTATAATTCGTAAAAACACTGAGTTCTTATAAATCATTTTGAAATTCTTCGTTCCAGTTCAAATTTATGTTGCTGGCACATGGGTGGGCCATGATGTAAGATACCTTAAACTATTTTTACTGTTCATGATGCACTGCTACGTTAGTCTGCTTTATAAATATTTAACTGCTCTGGTCGAGTTTTCAATTTC